TTCCCTAGTACACGTATTGGACGCTAACATCTGTAGACCATAACTCGGGCAATATTACTGGCGTTTCCAATACCAACACCGAATGGCATGATTACGAGATAAGGTGGACGCCGGAAAAGATCGAGTGGTATGTCGATGGTGAGCTTGGTCGCACGCAGCTGAAGTCGGAGACATGGAACAAGACGGCAAACCAATGGGACTTCCCCCAGACGCCCGCTCGCGTTCAGCTGTCCATCTGGCCCGGTGGTGCTGCCTCGAATGGCAAGGGAACCATCGACTGGGCGGGTGGCCCCATCAACTGGGACAGCGATACCATCAAGAAGGACAAGTACTACTACGCTTCCGTGGGCGAGGTCAGCATCGAATGCTACAAGACGAACTCGGGGCCGGGCACCAACTCCGGCAAGAGCTATACGTTTAACAATTGGTTGGCGACAAACAACACGGTTGTTGACGGTGACAAGGGCACGGTCCTCAAGTCGCTTCTTGGCTCCGGCCTGGACATGGATGCCGACTACCCGAAGACGCCTGGCTCGCAGACTTCCCAGGAAGTGATCCCCGGCCTGAGCGGCGGCGGTGTTGGCACCAACGGTCAAGCGGCTGGCGATGCGAACGGTGGCAGCGGTTCCAATGGTGGTGGCAGTGGTGGCAATGGTGTTGTCCCTCCAGACGGAGGCGCAAGTGAATGCAACAACGGTTTCTCACAGGACTGCAGCGCCGGTTCGAGCAGCAACAACAAGAACCAGGGTACCCGACAGGAGCATGTGCTGGGGACTAGCGCGTTCGCCGCCCTTGTCGCCGTTGCTGGCATGCTTTGGTTATAAGTGTACCGAGGAGGCCTAGAATGGATCAAATTCTCGACGTTCTACTACATATATATATTCTTGATCACCACGATTCAACGAAACACCATGTTCTCTATTTCGTCCTCGCAGTCTTATATTGTGTTGGAAGCGACCTTGTTTCGGAGATTGGAGATATGAGGCTGGGATACAACGGCTGGCAGTGTCGGGTTCATCTGGTAGGGGTACTAATGGCTAAAATGTCGTCCGCTCCTTGTTAGGCAAGCATGTCGCACGCTGAGTGCTAGGAATAATAAACCGAATGAATACCAGGACTATGACCAGAAGCTTCGTGTTGTAAGCAAGAGTGTGGCAAAATAGTTGGAAGGGTTTTGAAGGCCACGTCTTGGTGACCGAGAAGAAGTAGGTTGGGTGACAGGTAGCATCACGCATGCACGATTATATGGCAAGGGAGACCTCTGCCCCCACGTCGGCAGCGCACGAGTTTGAGTGCGCCCTAACCTACCTTCTCACAGGGATATGAAGCATATCGCTCCCTCGGGACCGGTAGTATGCTATCTACCCTTACCTACGCGCGTAAGTATCTCTCTGTCTGCTTTTGATTTCAGACTGGGAGTTCATGGAATGGCATGGTAGATATTCCCCGGATCTTGCTCTTATGTTATACAACGTGAGAGATATGAAACGTGCGGCTTGAATTACGGTGGGATATTCGCTTGGCGCACTTACGTCGTGTACCTCTGCTGCAACCCGCGTATTTCTTAGTGAACGAGGTGATTGGTGAACAGACGCCAGCCACCCACCTCTACCGGAGCCGAGCGAGGAGGGCCGCTGCCGGAGATCAATTGTTGGCTGACTTGCCCTGCGTGATTGCTTGCTTGCTTCTCCACCTGGCATCCCTTTGCAGGTAAGTGTAATAGGTCCTCGGGTCTTGGCCACGCGGTTGGTGGAGATGCGAAGCGAGGCAGCGTCTTATAGTAGGTAGTCTTGTGATAGGCGGACTTGTCTTTGTTTCCTGCGAGGCCGGCGCTTAAGCGGATGAGGCTGAGGCTGCGGGTGGTTGTTCTGGGGGCGGAATCGCCAACAAGTTATGAATGATGAGTTGGATAGATAAGTTATACTATCTATTTCTCTGCCTGTACAAGTACATGTAGTATAGCATCTTCGCTAACTTATATAGCCTCTTAGCTTTGAGACCCTTCCGTGTAGCTTTATTATCATGACGAATGAATGAGGCGCTGGACCCTGCATCGTCAAGTTGTCTGTCTGCATCCGGCGTTCTTGTTAATCTTACATCTTCCACCTCAAATAGGGATGCATATGTGTATATGTATTGTTGCACTTGTTGGTTTCATATTAAGCATATCGTGCAGATGTGCTCTGACCTATCACCGACCTAGCCCTCAACTCATCTGTCCCGGGCTGCTGGAAACAACCCAACCCCTATCGATCCACGCCACCGAGCCGTGATGTGACATAATATGAGCACAAAGTAGCTTGGCTGGGAATGCCAAGAACATGACCCAGTGCGTGTAAACACCCGGACCTGACTGCATGGTTGAGACTTGCTCTGCTGTGCTACCGATGTATTCGCTCACAGACAACCCGACCTTATTTTGACTCAACCCGTAAACTACGGCAGATCCGATTCTATCACAGTATGCGCAGCACCCTGTCATTTAGGGTGAGATGAACACTCTCCGCAAACCACCCATACAGGCCTACTTGCTCACATGGGCTATGTAGGATGACCAGGTACAGATATGGGGGAGGGGGACTCGGCCCCTGGACAGGACTAACCGGCGTCAAAGGACTGAAGGGGGCGAGAATGAAGGGCTAACCATGGCCTTCATTTTAGGAGCAAGGCGTACAGACGACGGTGCACAAGCAAAAGGCAACACACATCCCTGCTTCCTCTTCGTCTCGAGCTCGGATGAAAGATAAAATACGGCCCTCTTCCTACCTTATGACAGACAGCCTTCTCCCCGATCATCGTCACTTTCACCTTAACTTCCATTACTTTCCTTCGCTCTACTACATTTCTGTTCTGCTCTGCTGTGCATAGCTTTGTCTGGTAAGGTCACACGATCCTCCTCAAAGTTACTCCTCATCAAGACGCCCGATACTAATAATAACCAACAACAGCCTCCGCCCCAACAAGTCATTATCCAATTAATTGCCCGGCGCGATTGATTCATTCTCTCTCGTCTTTCCTTGTCCACCTCAGGTCGAACAAACCCCCGTTTGTACGGTCATTTCAAGCCAGTTTCTTTGTCCTCAGCAAGGAACAACAACAAGTCATTCTCTGGACTTACACCGCTGGCTCATTCAAGGTCGCCTCTCTTTCAAGACGAAATCATTCACTTGATCACTATAAATCGGCAAACACCACCACCTTCTCACTCATCCGATCGTTCTCGTGTTGCCAGACTACACTTGCCAATAAAATAAAAATAAAAGGTACACAGCCAACTTTCCCTACGACTCACTCACTTCCTACCTTATCTGCATAACCCCCCCACCTTGCTTACCGTCTGCTTTATAGAATATAAAACAAACAAGAACACAACCAACAAAATACACCCCTTTCGTAGCATCAGGATGTTCCGAACACTCACCACACTCATCGCCCTCGGCAGCATGGCCACCGCAGCGCCGTCCGCCATGCGTCGCGACGCGGCACCAGAAACCCATAACCTGATCGTCGGCGGCCCCGGCCAGATCGCCGTGGCCAAGTTCGACGGCAAGGCCTTCACCATCACGGGCCAGCACGCCGAGCCCGGGGCCTCGCCCAGCTGGATGCGCTACAAGCACTCGGCCAACTCGCTGTACGCCGTCAACGAGAACGCCGCCAACCTCGACGTGCTCGACCTCAAGCTCGACGGGCCGACGCTCACGGGGTCGGTCAACGGGTCGACGGGCGTCGTCTTCCTCGAGTTCAACAAGGACCAGACGCGCCTTGTCGGCGCCGGCTACGGCAGCGGCAAGATCGATCTCTGGGATACGTCGGCCGCGGGCGCGCCGAAGCTTCTCAAGTCGCTCGACGTCACCGGTCCCACGGGCCCCAACCAGCAGGGCCACCACCCGCACCAGGCCATCCTCGACCCCACGGGCAACTTCGTGGTCGTGCCCGACCTCGGCGGCGACCAGCTCCTCGTGGTGCGCATCCAGGGTGACGAGCTCAAGATCATGAACACGGTGTCCATGGCCCCCGGCACCACCCCCCGCCACGGCAGCTTCATCGGTGGCGCCGGCAAGCTCTTCTTCCTGGCCGCCTGCGAGGAGACCAACATCGTGGTCCTCTACGAGGTCTCCTACAACGACGCCAATGGCATGATCTTCAACTATATCTCGGAGCAGAGCACGTACGGCAAGGACGGGCCCAAGAACGCCACGTCGGCCGCCGCCGGCGCCATCCTTGTCGCCGCCAACCAGAGGGACGTCTACGTCTCGAACCGCAACTCGGGCGCCGAGACCGACAACGTCGCCCACTTCGTTTTCGCCGCCGACAAGGCCGAGCTGACCTTCCAGGAGACCGTCTCCACCACCGGCATCGGCCCGCGCAGCATGGCCTTCAGCGCGAACAAGGACCAGAACGTGCTCTTCGTCGCCAACATGGGCGGCAAGAACGGCCTCATCGCCCTCGCCCGCGACGGCGCCACCGGCAAGCTCACCCCCGAGCCCGTCGGCGCCATGGCGTACGCCGAGCTCGTCTCCAAGGACTACACGACCACGCCGAACGCTGGACCCCAGTTCGTCACCGCTTTCATCGTTGATAAAAAATAGATGCGACTTTCCTGTGCTAGCCTAGGAGTCCTAGCCTAGACGGGCGTCGCAGCATTGGAAGAGCGAGACGGAGGCGGAGAGGGAGAGAGACATCAGTTTGGCGTTTAGGCCTTTCTTCATATATGCATCCATTCATTCATTGATTGAGCGATTGGGCGGATAAGATCGAGACAACTCACGACATCTCATGGCCTGTAATGAATTGAAAACTTATTCTAGAGTAATAATACTTGTCCAATGTGTGTGTGTTCTTTTCCCCTCGGTGATAGTGCCTAGTAAAGTAAGCCAGTAAGTAGTAATGACAATGAGGCATCGGTCCCAACCTCGCTAGGTCGCATCAAAACATTCACCATGAAAAATTTAATATTTTGTTAATAAGGGCAAAAAGCAAGATAAAAAAAATAAACCCATCGACACCTCCGAGATTCGAACTCGGGCCCCCGAAGGGATAAGATATCAGCTACCTTGCCGTGAGACCGGATGTTTCCGATTTCGGTAAGTTGTATATAGCAGTCTTACGTATTAACCACTCTACCAAAGTGCCTTTTCTTGGGTGTTGGGGTCGTGGCTTAATTTGCTCTTATAGGGCTCTTGGCCACTAGGGTTTTTAGTGTATCCTATTATTGCATTCTCCTAACCTAATCGTTGCTAGTGTTAGCTTTAGGTACCTCGGAGACTTTATTTTTTTGGTGGGACGCTTGCACGCTAGCTATCTTGCTACCTAGATCGAGGATGATGCTCTGCGGATTTCTCTGTTGCCGTCAAGAAAATGCTTTCCCTTTGGTTGTATTGGTAGGTAGCTTGAGCATTGGCTTGCCCTTTCCTACTCTGCTCCTCAGGGGGAAATACTGCATCTACTATACTACCTATCTGCTTTTCTCTTGATTTATTAATTGTATGGAGGCATTCTCGCGATATTTCTGATAAGGTAGTTTTGTTTCGTGATAGCCGACCCTTGCCGTGCTTGTAGATGTGGTGGGCTGATTGATAGACGGCGGGGGACACTAGGCAGTGTAAGGGAATAGGAAGTACCTCTCTCTCACAATGGATGCTAATTAAATACAGATGCATGTGCCATGTATTACTAGGTACCTATCTAGACTTAGGTAGACTCCGATGCTTCTACAATATCCGCATCTACCTAAGGTACTCTGCAACGCGATAAATATCTTGTAAATAATTTACTTCATCTGCCCACTCGGCCACTCGGCACTCCATTCCTCCATCCTGACCCCAAGAAGCTCCACTTGTCCCCGCGCGCCATGCCCCGCGTCTCCCCACGGTCTCGGCTTCAATCAACGCCCAGGCTAGATGAGTGGAAACCTGATGTCGTACTCGTCGAGATCCTCCTGGATATCTTTTTGCTTCGAGCTAAATTTTAAGTTTCCGAGGAGGACTGCTGACAATCCAGCGAACGTTGATTTGTCTATGTGACGAATGCCGCTAGGTCTTCTACGACTTGGATACTTTACTCAGTCAGCCGGATATCTTCTTGTGTAAGTCGGTGCCGAGCAAGTCGGAGACCTTATTGCAGCTGAACCTGTATACTTACCTACCTACCCAAACGCATCAGCTAGCTAGCGTGGGCTTGCTTTTCAAGATATGTTTGATAGGTAAAGTATGCATTGCCGCTACGGTTTCCGCTGCTGGCCATCATCTGATCAAATGACATATAGCACATTAACAACAACATAAGACAATTGTAGGCTATCGGAGAATGAGCAGCGACGCTTCCTCTGCGCCCGAGGGTGTGGGCATCATCGATCCCAAGTCGGACCCCCAGTATATCCAATTCAGATGTCTGCCGCCCGGCGGTCCGCTCAACCGGTGGTCGCACATCATCACGAGAGAACATGACTTTCCCGCCTCTCAGGTATGTAGTGAATACGAACTCTCAATACCATGCACCGGCTTGGAATCAAGAACGGGTCTCACGTCGTCATCGAAAAATGTCATACAACTGGGCAGTTATGAACCCTGGACTGAGGAATTGCTTATAACAATGCATGTGGTGTATAGGCTATGCTCTATGGCGCCGGCGTTCCGAGCGAGGACATGATGAAGAATGCCCCCCATGTCGGTATCGCTACGATATGGTGGGAGGGAAATCCCGTAAGTGCATTTGACGAAGAGCGAGAAGACACTTTGGGCACGCCTGTTGGGGGACACGGCTAATAACTCGTTCTGGTCAGTGCAAGTAAGCAAGCACATGGCGATCCTTCACCCTTATCGTATCGTTGGTGACCACATTCACATATCTATCGATCATTACACTCACCTCTCCAGCACTCATTGTAAGTATTGCTACCGAACTAAGTCAATAGAGCGGATCTAACTAGTCTAGTGCTCGAATTCGGCAAGATCGTGAAAAGGGGCGTGGAGAAGCAGAAGATGCTCGCCTGGCAGTATAACGCCGTCGGCGTCTCAGACGCAATCACCATGGGCGGCGAAGGTAAGGGATCGCATCCCCTCTCTTTCAGAAATTAGCAATATATATCTATTTACCCATCTATTATATATATCGTAGTAGCTGACGGAGTGTCCAGGAATGCGCTACTCTCTGCAATCCCGCGACTTGATCGCCGACAGCATCGAGACCGTGACTTGCGCCCAACACCACGACGCCAACATCTCCATCCCTGGATGCGACAAGAACATGCCAGGCGTCATCATGGCTGCTGCTCGGCATAATCGTCCGTTTATCATGATCGTAAGCTCACTTGACACGCTCAACCAGTGATTTGCTTTCAACACAAGCCAGTCCACTCGACAGAACCCGTTATATGGGAGAAAGACGGGCGGAAACACGAGCTGAAAAGGCGGTTGTCAAGCGCTGACGGTGAATACTGTATGTAGTACGGCGGGACGATCCGCAAGGGATATTCCAACCTCCTGGAACGCGAGGTGAATCTCATCAACTGCTACGAGGCAGCAGGTGCTTTTGCCTATGGCACGCTCCACGCCAAGACGAACGCCGGTGCCGCAGGACGAACGCCGGGCGATGTCATGACCGACCTCGAGCAACACTCATGCCCGGGTGCGGGCGCTTGCGGTGGAAGTAAGCTCCCACACACTCTCACGCACTTCCCTCCCCCCTCACGAGCGCCACGACAGTAGCGCGGCGTGCCCAGCCAGTATTGAAAAGCAGTACTGATCAGAGCCACGACGATGTTGACTCTTCCTCTTCTTCTGCACAGTGTACACGGCCAACACGATGGCCACGGCGATAGAAGCCATGGGCCTGACGCTCCCGGGCTCCTCGTCGTACCCGGCCCTCTCCCCGGAGAAGGCCCGCGAATGCGAGCGCGCGGCGGAGGTGATCAAGACGACGATGGCGAAAGACATCCGGCCGCGCGACCTGCTGACGCGGGCGGCGTTCGAGAACGCGCTGGTCATCACCATGATCCTGGGCGGGTCGACCAACGGCGTGCTGCACTTCCTGGCTATGGCCAACACGGCCGAGGTGCCGCTGACGCTCGACGACGTCGACCGCGCGAGCAACCGGACGCCGTACCTCGCTGACCTCGCGCCCAGCGGGCGGTACATGATGGAGGACCTGTACAAGATCGGCGGCACGCCCTCGGTGCTCAAGATGCTGATCGCCGCCGGCCGCATCAACGGGGACATCCCGACGGTCACGGGCCGCACGCTGGCCGAGAACGTGGCCGACTGGCCGAGCCTGCCGCCCGAGCAGACCATCATCCGGCCGCTGTCGGACCCGATCAAGGAGACGGGCCACATCCGCGTGCTGCGCGGGAACCTCGCCCCCGAGGGCGCCGTGGCCAAGATCACGGGGAAGGAGGGCTTGCGGTTCGAGGGCAAGGCGCGCGTGTTCAACAAGGAGCACGAGCTCGACGACGCGCTCTCCAGGGGCGAGATCCCGCGCCACGAGAACCTCGTGCTCATCGTGCGCTACGAGGGGCCCAAGGGCGGCCCCGGCATGCCCGAGCAGCTGAGAGCGTCGGCGGCCATCATCGGTGCCGGGCTGAAGAACATCGCGCTCGTCACGGACGGGAGGTACAGTGGTGCCAGCCATGGGTTTATCGTGAGTTCTTCTCTTTCTTTGCTTTCATGTGAATCTTTTTCGCGAGTTTCTTCTCTCTCTCTCTCCCTCTCCCTCTATCTTTTCTTCATACAAACCTCTCTACTACGATCTCACGTTCGGAACCTCTAACTGAATTCGCTCGCGGCAGGTCGGACACGTGACGCCCGAGGCGGCGGTCGGGGGACCGATCGGGCTGGTGCGGGACGGCGACACGATCGTCATCGACGCGGTGCAGAACCGCATCGACATCACGAGCGCCGACGACGCCGAGCTGCAGGAGCGCAGGAAGGCGTGGAAGCCGCCCGTCGCCAAGGTCCGCCGCGGCGCGCTGGCCAAGTACGCGCGGCTCGTCGGCGACGCCAGCCATGGGGCCGTGACTGATCAGTGGGAGGAATGAATGAATGAATGAATGAGGTTTGGTTGTGCTTTGCTTTATCTATTAGTGCTCGACGCAGGGGTCTTCGTATGTACGTAGGTTAGCTGTGTACAAAGTAAGTTGAATATCAAGCACTTCGTTTACCTACGTCTCGTCTGGCTTTTATATGAGTTGTTGTGATATATTATATAGGGGGGCTGCATGTGCAGCGTGGTCTGTAGAACAGGTTTACTCGTTGGGCATGTATCGAACCTTTACGTTGATATACTCTTCATATTATTGACTCCTCTATAGCCGTATACTGGAGAGTTGTGTCTCTCTCTATTAGGTAGGTAATTCCCTGTGTATGATGGTATCCAAGATAATTCTAATATTGTAAGAATGGAACTTGGTAACTCCTATGAAGTACCTACCGGAGGGGACCCGGTTTTAAGGCACGATGTTTACAGAGCTATAGCAGTATGCCTACCCCCTTACTAAAGGGCTGTTTTAACAGCGTACCAGAAGGCCACTCGAGTTCCAGTCTGTTTTAACTATACGCTGTTGTACTAGAAGCGATGTTGCAGCAAAAAGCGATGTTATAGCAATATTAGAACAAAAAAGGAAAGGCTATTCAAACGCTGTATTTAAAAATTACAGTTGCAGTTATAAATAGTATGGCAGTTTTGGCCTAGTGATATATTTTGGCCATGCAGTTATAGTACCTGTCTGGTACAATACGTGTACCAGGCTGCCAAATTTTTGGACAGTATAACCCGCCAAACACTTGGGTTCCAACCTGCCCTAAAACGGGGTTCCCCCCTATAGGTACCTACCCCTACTACATGTACCTAGGTATCCAGTACCTAAGTTCATAAGCCGCAATATTGGCGGGGCAAAATAACCAAGACGTTCCCACTAGGAACTATCACCCAAAGTGGCCTAGTGGTAAAGTAGTCGCCAGGACAAACCGCCCTTCCCCTATCCGTGGGGGTTTTCCGGTCGTTCGAGGTGGGCCCTCGGCGATTCTTTTTCTTTTTCTTTTCTTTTAGGTCTTACCTGGTTAGGTACCTAACTTGGTTCCACAGCATCGCGCTTGAGCCACACTGGTTCAATCACAGCCACATATCGCGGGGTTCCATCG